AGCTCCCCGTGTTTCACCTAACATTCACTCCAAAAACCATATAGATTTCATCTCATTGATGTTCAGGAAAGTGTAGATGAAGTGTTCTGAGCAGAAAGTCGAGTAAGAGAGCAGGTGTCTACTCAGATCATTATCCAATGCAGAAAACATTCAAAGTGGAGATAAAGTCTTTCAGAACAACTGGAGAGAGAGTACAACTGATATTCAACACAGAAACTGAAGTAGCGAACTACAAAGCATTTAGTTGCTGAAGCTGTAAGAACGATGTCAGAGACACTACGTGACAGCAATGAGGAAGCCTGTGTCGAAGAACACCGGAAATAACGCTTTGAAGGTGACGTTTAACGAGGCAGGTACAATGGTATTACGAAGAAAGAAGAGACAAAACAAAGAGTGACTCTCAACAGACACATGGGAGCTAATGAAATAGAGCCGGATGATAAACATAAACTCAAGGAGAAGGTGGACAAGAGAAGGATAGGCTGAGTTCAATATGTACCACACTGAATACAAAGGAGAAGAGGAGTAGTATGAGAGAGAAATGATAATTATGGAACACACTGACCGGTGAAAGAAATCTCAGGGCATTATATCAGATAACCAAGTCAATCCATATCCGGGAAGGGATCAACCAAGATGATGAAACAAACAAAATATGTTCAAGGGAACCTGATTACTAAGGAGGTGAAACAGATAAAACTCTGTGTTGATCACTTCGAGTGACACCTGTATAGGTCATCCCCTGCAAGTCGTCAAGAAAAACCACCACTAACAGCACTCCCACAACTGCTGGTGATCCAAAGTCTCCAGTGCACTGAAGTTGCTGACGTTCAGGAAAATAGCAGGGGCATACGAAATTCCCTCCAAAGCACTAAAAACAGACCGATAGACAAGAGGGGATGTAACCATGCCAATAATCCGGAAGGTTTGGGAGAATTGCAAAGTGTCTAGTGGTTGGAATAAAAGCTAGCTTCCCTGCCAAACTAAGGAAAAAAGGCGACTAAATTTTCTAAAAGAACCGACGTGGAATAATGTTTTCGTTCACGCTGAGTGAAACACTAGGTCACGCCATCCTGGAGAGAAGAAAAGATACAGAGCATTCAGAAATCAACCCACCGGAGAAGATATGTTCAAACAGGGCAAATAGTATGCTGATGAAATTGCAACTATAAGCATTGCAATCAAACGAAGAGTAGCAGAAAAGAGAAGACTCCAGGTGAACAGTGAGAAGATGGATATGATGAAAATAGCCAGCCCACGGCAATATCAACAACAACCAGAACCAACCAGTATAAACGGGGAACATTTCAAAATGGTGATCTCCTTCACTTATCTAGGGAGCACTATTTCAATTACATGTGGAACAAACGAAGATAACAAAGTTAGCCAGAATTAGGGACGCCATTATTAATCTGATATCTGTTCAGAACTCAGCACAAACAACGACATGCAGACTTTTAACACCGATGGCAAGTCAGTTACTTCTATTATGCAGGTCAGAAAATTCTCCAGCGCGTCATGAAATGCATTTCAAGCTGACAGTTACAGAGTTTTATCAACAGTTGCCCTCCCTGGATCTATCAGTAACAATAAGCATCGAGAAAAACCTAGCAGCTCATCAGCCGAAAATCTATCGCTCAACAAATACGTATTATAAAATATGGATGGATTGCTCATATTCTGAGGAGGCCCCAGAATGACATCGCGTGCAACGCAGGCCATCGCAATGGGAAGTGACGAGTAGATCGTCAGTGGGAGGGTAAAATGGAGGGGGTCATGTGAGGAGGAGGGGAGGTTGGGAGATTGTGGGCAATCGTGAGGCTAGCCAGCTAAAGATGACAGTGCAGAATAGAACAAAACGGAGAGGTCTCGTTGAAGCCCTAGTAGTAGCAAGAGATTTATTTTGCGCAATAAGTTACCGCAATAAGCATAATTTCTAGCATGGTTTATTGTATGATATTTACCCTTTATTCAGTGGTTTTAAGTAAAACAGCCATCCCCAATGTGTCATATGACTCAGCAATGTTAAATATGAATATTTAAATAATCCTTTATGGTAGTTTGCACTAGTTCCCCAGAAATGAGCAATAATAGATTGCATACCAACTAAAATATATGTGTACATTTGGCGAACTACGAGGCACCAAGAAAAACAAGGCCAAAAGAAATGATAATAAAAATATTATAATCTGACCATCTAACTGAAATGGAAAACCTTTATAAGAGGTACGTGGACGATATCATAGATATTTTTGACTATTAAGCAGAAGTCACAGATGCTCTTAGCAACATGAATATAGAACCAATCGGTTCATCATTTACATACAATTCAAATTGAAGTATGCGCTGAAGATATCACCTAGTAGGGTCATGAAAGCTTTGCAAATTAACCATCTAGCTCAGAGAACACAACCACATCAAAATAACTGGAAGTGAATAATGACTGCTTGCTAATTTTAGATATACAGATAACTCACTGACACGAACATCAGTTGAACGATCTGCCTACAGAAAGCCTGCTACATAGAATGATAATGAAATTTCTCCCTTGTTTTCTTGCATTCCAGTATATAAAGACATTAGGCTAGTGTCTGTTCAGAAATATTCACCAAATACCCACAGATAATACTATTTTAGAAGTAATGCAAAACCCGAGCAAATATAATAAGAAAAAATCTAGCCCCTGAAATTCATTGAACTTGAGAGGAGCTTCTCACCATTAGCTCTGCACATCCAAACATCCCTAAGAATTAGGTTTTAGGTATCCCCTCAGTTCAGTAGTGATCACTAGAGTCTGGTCAATGAACACAGATTTAAAGTAGCGTTGAGTGAAACCTACTTTGCAGCCAAAATGTTTTTTGTTGGGAAAGCTGAATTAAAGTTTTCATGTAAGCCTTGACAACATGAAAATAACGGTGTCCCATGTAAATGGATTGTCAGTTTGCATGTAAGTTTGGTCAAACGTATGATTCGTATTATTCGAATATTAGTCTGCACACTGTTTCACGAATAGCACAGACAGCGCACAGAACTGACTAGCAAAATAGTGAACTAGGGGAGATTATTTTGCCGATTGGGTTCTCAAAACTTCATATATTGACTAACTCTCGTCCTACTCTACTGATTGCCGTATCATAGACCTACGAAAATGCTCAAAATAAGCAACTACTTGAATCCATGTATTGAACTTACTATGTTTTGGTTTGAAATATAATCACATGAAATGCCCGTAGCCTTAATAGAACTACGAATCAATATCAAGGGGAACATGGTTTAACTTTTCATAATTCACTTATGAAAACATCCTATTAAATCAAACGCAGTTTTGTATACAGAAGAAATACATCCAACCCCTGTCCCTGCCAAGGCCATCATAAAGAGGTAATTTTTTAGTAATGAAAATCCCATTACCTTTCCTATCTAAACTTCCTGTTTATTCATGTTATTTTTTAAAGTTTTTCTTAATCCCTGTTTACACTACCATAATTTCATATCCAAACATCCTGTCTATTTTGTTATTTCTACATTTCTAACCCCTAATTGCACAATGTCAATCTTCTTAGTTATTATGATGCTACTTTGTTTGTTTTATCCATCCTCTGATTATTATGGCATTCGATTTCCTAATTGTAATTTTTATTAATTTGACACTTAACCGGAGATTCTCAAAACAAAAAAAACGAACAAATTGAAACATTTCATAGAAAACATCAGAGTTGATGTGATGATAGTGGAAGTGGTTGAATACTTTGTTTTCCGTGCAGAGTAGCGATTCATTCACCTAACTGTATACAGCTTCAGTGATGCAAAAGAGACGAAAGCGTGCCATCATTAATAGGGTGTTTCTTCACATTTTAGGATAATTTGAAAGAGAATTTTTCTGAGAGGTGTTTAATTGTCTCACTCTTTTGACAGACACTGACAACATTCTGCAAGATTATGTACGTCGACGCTTTAAGAGAGAAAAATAGAACTGGCTACATTGAAGCAGATGCGAGATCGTGTTATTCAGGATTCTGCAGACCGGTGAACAACTGAAAAACATCGACTAGTCTTAACATTACCACGAAGGATGTTATTCCATAATTGTCGCAAACATTGTCTAATGGAGACCAGAGATCGAATATCCCATAAAATTACTGTACATACACGGACTGTGTTTCAGATTATGTTAGCTGGTCTATTTCCAAATCTAGAGAGTGAAAGATATTATTAAAATCCGCTTTAGATCAACAAGCATCTAAATGTCGAAACTTGTCAGCTGAACATTCTATTTATATACACACTAGACTAACCTTCATTATATTCCATTCAGGTAGATCCACATACTTATCACTACCATATCTAGTGAAAAATTGTGTATAAACGACTCGTATTTGCAAACAGTCCTTGCCTCCCTATAACAATGTATTATATTTACATGTAGTTGCACATGGTGAGAGGGACAGTGTTAAATAGTGTAACGATTCGTCAGTGTTCCATTTTGTATTGAACTGGAGGAGGCGAAAATGTAAGGAAGTACGACAAATTACTCGGAGATAACGAGAATGCCTAGGCTATGGACGATAAGATTCGTCGAAATATGAGATCTGCTGACCGATGGATTACACTTAGAGATTTCTGATAAGCGGAATTCACACATTACTCAAGTAAACGCGTGCTTTGATGTCTCATTTTTCTTAGGAACCGCTTCATAAGTAAGATGAATTCGATAAGTTCAGTCTGATATTGAGTATTCACACAAACCCAATAATGAAGCTGTCGAAATATTCCCTCCACACAAAAACAATTGCACAAACAAAACAGCCCTAGAAACACATTACACCATCCACCTTCTAACTAATCGAAAATCTGAGACAGAAAACACGAAAGAGAAAACGACTGCTTAAAATTCAGTAAAGGTTTATTCACTGAGTGTTTCCATAATCATACATGGCAATAGCGTCCATTTCAGTTAAACAACCGATGAATCACTGAATCTCCCTCAACACATAACATATCTATTCCTTCTTCGACTTCGCCTCCTTCACCGCCTTGATGTCTTTCTTCACACTCTGAATCTTCTTGCCAATCTTCTTCAGATCAGGACGTTTGCAGGCACTGCAAATGGACAAAAACACACAATTCACGAGAAATCTATGAGTGATTGCGATGAAAAGACGTAAAGCAATGTGTATGTATATCCGCTGAGCGCTGAAGTGAGGTGATATGAACAGTGCAGAATGAATAAAATAAGACACAAGTAGACCATGAAAAATAACACTTGGTGATGAGTTCCTTTTGTGAGCATTCGAAGGCAAAGACTTATTGTCTGTGGATCACACTGGTGACAAATCTGATGTGAATCATTGAATGAATGTATGAATGAATAGATAAATGGCTATCTGATTTACACTCCGAAATGCTTGTTTCACCATTGTTGATTGCGAGAAGTGTTCATGAAGTGTGGATATTCCATTGAGAAATGTCGAAATCACCAACGTCATGTTGAAAAGTGAGGATGTCTGCACTGCTCGACTGCAAATATGCAACTCTGTTCATACGAAAATGTTCCTCTGGATAACTGCGAGTTTTGTCAAAACCAAAATGCACATGTACTGTGAATGCGACATCATTGAATGAGGCTCCACTCACGGATATCTGGTGGGCCACTGAATGATGAGTCAGCTATCCTGTCAAGAAAGACAAGTGGAAACGTGTCACTTTAATGCTGACAACCTGTGATGCCTGTGAGGTGTATTATCCAATCAACTGTGTGCACCTGTGTGTTTGTGTAATTCAATACCAAACAAGACATGCAATCATCTGTCATCAGTCACATCAAAAAACGTACGTGTCCACCTGTCGAGTTCCCTTCTTCGAAGACAACTCCGCAGCAGTCGGTTTCGACAGATCGAAGTTTGTCACACACAGACCAGACCCCACTTTCACAACTCCCTTCTCATTCGTGCCCACTGTCAATCCTCCATACTTGATACTCCATGATCCTGAAATTTAGAACAACAACAACAACTGAAAATGAGCATCATTAGAGGTGGATTGTGAATTAACTGAACAGATTCTCTGCAACCGTTGAATAATGCGGTTAAACGCCATCACCGACTGACATGTCTACTGAGACGACGTTGATTGTTAGTGTTTACTTATATTTACGAATCGATTCAGTGGAACTGGAACTGGAATTATTCCCGTGATTATGCAAGTAAATAATGAAACACTCGCCCATTCTGCTCTTACTCAGTGATTAAACCACTATTCCTCCACCGATCAATGTCTGAATTCGGAATGGAATAACTGTTGGTTAGGGTTGACAGACTACCAAATAACCACTTTCACAAATGATGTGTACATTGGTGCATGTCGTTCAGAAGAATACTCCAGACTTCTGTTCATGTGTCCTACCTTAACAGATGCAATTGCAGTGAAGAGAAAGTGTGAACTGCAGACAAATTTGAGACTGTATTCTTCGATTTCTTATTGAATTACACAATGCTTTCTAGGACACGAAACATATATATGAGGTTACCTGATCGGCTCAGTCTGCAATCAGGTCCTCTACCACTTGATTTCATCACCTTCATAAATGTTAGGCATGTACACTTCTGAAGAGGCACTGGTTTGCAGATATACGCTATTCATTTGACTCAGTTCAGATGAATATGTCTACTCCAACAACGTTGATCAATAAGAAGCTACACCAAATGTTGCACCATGGCTATCTGTTATATCAAGTGACTGTGTTTACTTACTTGTGTAATTGGAAATGGATAATCTTAAGATAAACAGTTCACTGAGGTATATACAAATAAATAATAAATAAATGACCATTAGACCTCGCTCACCGTCCGCATCGAAATGTAATGGAAGTTTCTCAGATTTCTTATAAGGCTTCATTTCGACGATGTTTGGAAGAAGAACGCAAGCCATGATGATGCAGAACATTGAAATTTGTGTCATTCTTGAAAGTCTGAAAAAGAAATGAATCAATTGAATGGAGACAGCATTGAGACTGTTGCAAAAAATACAACTGAACAATGGTTGGAAAGATGAGTATTTGTATAGATAATACCAATTCACATCAGCGAAGTGATCTGCAGCTTCGTTATATGCGTGACTGTGTGAAACATAAATCTGATAGTGTGGGCAGCATAATGGATGGGGAACGGTTTCGTTCGACATGGATGTAAGAATTAAGTGTGAAATTCAACTGTGTAACTAACATGTTTTTTGCAGATTACTGGTGAGGTGAATAGTGTTCCACTCATTCACATATTTATATATGCATGCAATCATGAATTGAGTGTCACACGAACAGTTCAATGGTTATCTTTGTCACATTAATCAATGCCCTATGTCAGTATGTTGGCAAGCTCTTGTTAATCTTGAGTCATGAGGTTATTGATTAGGAGTGACTTACCTGAATGAAGGCTTCACCGATTAATGTGTTACAGAATTTGATTGAGGTTCTGCTTAATCTCACGTAGTGTCTTTTATAGGCTGGTTATTTACTGTTGTAATTTTGTTGACTAGGTTGATTCCCATAATTTCAAAGACCGCACTCGTGAACACTGTCATTAAACCACCGTCGAGTATAATCACAAATAGAGAAATTCATCAAGTATAAAAATCAGCATTTCTTTGTGTTTCCCTAATCAGATATTAACTGAATTTAAAAAAAATTTTAATTCAGTTTTACATTTTCCCATCGATTGATTCGACCCATTAGCTAGGTCTAAAATTGATATGTCGGCTTCTTGTGCAGATGCTTCGACGAAATCTGGGCACGTAATTAGGAGTTATTTGGTGGATGGTGACTAGCCGTAGAATCCGAGATGCGTATTTCGTTGTATTTGGGACTCGTCACTTGGATGTACTTGCATTCCTCAGTGAGTGATGATGTTCCCACTTGCGTAACGCAGGTACATTTAGATGACGAGTCCCATATAGGAAGAAATGTGCATCTTGGATTTCACTGGAATAAAGAGGTTGCAAAAACACAGGTAAAACGATGCAGCTTTGAAACTATACATGAACATCTGCATTTTAAATTCCTATCACAATTTTCTTTTATTCCTCTTCTATTCCTTTCTTTCATTGACAAACGTTCATTTTCGACTATTATGATTTCATGACCTTTCTTATGATTTCATTTTATTACCTTAGGTTTAAGTTGTGCTTTTCTAGCTTGTTATCGTATTTACAAAATCCTGCTCATTCCACTTCATTATATTCATTATTATTATTATTTGACAATCATTCACCAATAGTACATTTAATTTTACACCACATCATCGTTATTATCATTATTTGACAATCATTCTTATTGTGGGTATTTTCAAACTTAAACTTTTGTCCAGTTCGCCCCATTCGTTGGTTTATTTTCATTTCGTCTCACCCACCCTGATTACACTCACTCACTCTCGAAACCTGTATTTTTTGTTGACAATATTTATATGTATACACACACATAATTAAATTATTTTTCATCTCATTTTATCTCATGACCTCATTGACCATGCATTTTATTAAGACTAACTGACTATCAAGACAAATTGTCCCTTTGATAAATTTAAATAAGTCATTAAAAATACAAATGGTTAACAATGGTAAAATAAAGATCATGACAATTACTCAGTTAAATGAAAAAAACAAAAGTACATACTGATGACCGGTCATATTTAAATAGGTCATTTAGTCCATGGTAAGCGATCACTGAAGTCGATTGGTTTTCGTACACACAATTTAGGCTGTATGTGATTAATCCAAAGTGCTTCCATCACCTTCAATAACCTTGAATTAGGGATATGTGATATAATTGTGTAACAGTCATCAATACTGATTTTGTGACCAGACATTAATAAGTGTTTTGCAATGGATGATGCTGGATTTCTCTTCAGATTAATCGCATTGGGATTTTCTATATGATTTAGTAGCCATTTCGGAACATGTTCTTTTCGACGACAACATTCGAACATTCTGTTGGTTCTACCTATATAGGTTTCACTGCAGCTGCAGGTGAACTTGTAGATACAGTTTGAAGTAGAGTCCATAGAATTTCGGCCTTTAATTTTATAAATTTATTTAACTGAGTAATTGTCATGAACTTTATTTTATTATTTTTAACCATGTTAGTTGTAAAGCGGTTGTAAAGAAACTACGAAATGATAACTGACTACTGTCCCATCCAATCTTATACTTCTTCTACAATACACTTTCTGATATGATTCTAATTTGCCTTTACTGGCTGTCTGGCTATTGTATGATTAGAATAATGGATTTGTAATTGTGGAGCCTGAAGAAGAATTTGTCGAAACGACAATGGTTTGCTCTAACTATTTTGTACTTTCAATCTGCTCGAATTAACACGTGGTAAAATTTTGTTGATGTATATTTCCTATTATGATTACAATATTTAGCGAAGGGGCTCTTTTCGAGGAATTTTTTATTAAGCTGTACAATCGTACATATATATATGATTTTTTAAAGAAATTATATTCGTTCATATATTATTATATACTTTAATATATTCGAGTAACCGCATGATTAAACAAACTAATGTTCAGGTAGACATAGTAGTCGATAAAGTCTAATAAAAACAAATGAATTAATTAAGTAATGCCGAATTGTAAGGCATCAAGTTAGTAATACTGCTGTTCGATATTGAAAATGAACCTATCTAATGGGGAATTACATTTCATCACAGTGTCCAAATTACTACACGTACATTAATAAGAGCACAATATTCAGCGAAGAGAATCTTTTCAAAGAATTTATTATCAAGCTGTACAGTCAAATATATATATGGTATTGTGTATTAAGAAATTATATCCGATGGTAGAATTGCATTAAATGCGCGAATATATGAAATAATGATAGTAGTATGAAATGCAACTAAAGTATTTGTGATTATATAATAATAATAATAATTTTTCCTTCACGTTCCCAGTGGAACATAGGGCCCCAAGCTAGTGGCTTGAAGTTTCTGTAGCAGTGTTCATTTTTAATTTTACAGGATGGGGTTGCTAGCCTCATGCCCAACTTTTCCTCTTTACCAGCATTACTTCTGGCTCAGTGAGGTAAAGGAGTGCGCCGGCCGGGGATCGAACCCCGGACCATGTGCAAGGTCGGCGAGCGTCCTAACCGCTATACCGCTATAATCATAGTTAAAGGTCATTTGACAAAACAATCAATGTCATGTATATAGCATAATTCATAAGGTGTATGAATGTTGGAAAGAGTGTATAATTATTGGTATATTAGGCGAATATAAGATGTTACATGACATGGTGTGAAATGTGATAAGGTAGAATTCAATATTGTGAAAACAAGAAAAATAATAATTTTGGATTTAGAATGAAAATTCGGACAACCGAAAACAATGCAGATTGAGAATAGTATTAATATGAATAATAATAATAATAATCTTAGTAATATAGGAAAGGTACATAGAATAACTAAATAAACAACATAAATGAAAATCCTTGTGCCCCTGTTGGTTGACCTTTAGTTAGGCTGGCGTTTATGTTCATTCACTATTATTTTGAATGATCTCCACGTCTGACCCACATATTTAGTCGGACACGGCACAAGATACCTGTTTGTAAATCACATTATTTTCATCCATCATTTTTATGGAATCTTTCAGTTGATTTATTTTATTTTTAATTTATTCGTCGGTTTAAACGTTGTGCGAATCTGAATATTTTTGAGGTTTCTTCTAATTGCCTCTAATATACCATTTTTGTATGTTATCGTGACTGTTCTTTTTGCCTTCTTCCATCTTGTCATTCTCCGGTTTTACTCTTTTTTTCTTTTTTATGTTAACTTTGATAAACTCTTTCGGGTAGTTGTTGTCGACTAACATTTTGAATAGGACGTTTATTTCTTTAAGCTGCTTGTCTGGTGTTGTTGTAAGTCTACATATTTTACCTGCAAGACCTTGAAAATGTAAATATATATATATATACATTTATGCTGTAAGCGTCAAACAAAAGAACTTCATCTCATTTCGTCAAGACTGTCCCCATTTCACTGGGAACAGAAGCAAGATAGGAGTTCAGGTACTAGTTTCCACAGTATACACAGAAATAGAAACCTATGTTTAGACAATAAAGCATCTCACCCTATAGCATTCAAAATAAACCAAGGGAAATATTCTAGTAACAAGGTGAAGCAAGGAATCGGCACAATAGGTAATCCACGACAGAACATGATACGAATGAAGAAATCTTCATTACTCGACAGTTAGTTGGCCGGGAAATTAATCCGCAAGTAGACAATCGTGGATTCACTAGGTCTTTAGATTTCCTGTGCGATTCAAGGAATGGACTGTATGTGTAACAGTGGGATCATATCACTTCAAAAAACATGGATACATGATATATATGATGACAACGTAGTGTATCTAAATGGTTTCAAATTATTCAGACAAGATCGGTGAAGTTCGAAGAAGAAACGCGGTGGCGGTGTCGCCATCTTTATCAATTCACAAGGGTGTACATATAATAATCTGTGTTTCAGATTCTCTAGTGACAATATTGACTGCCTCACTGTTAAGTGTCGACTTAAACATTTGTCGAAATATAGCTACATATACATATGGAATATTTATATTGCTCCTGGATGCAATTCAACAGAGTTGTCTTTCTATAGTTTGGTTTGTAAGGGTTCGTTATGTTTTTACGAATTGTCTTTGTTTATTACTGGACCACTTGGACATGAAAACGTTGTCAACTTCCCGACTCGACTGGATAATGCTCTTGATCTTGTGTTGACAAATGACGCAGGAATATTTGAAGCTCGAAAAAGAGCCCCAATACTCAATTCTGATCACTGTATCGTAAGAATATTGCCCAAAGTATATGGAAGGCAGCACAAAAAGGTCTTCTCATACCTTGGAAAGAAAACACAACATAGATGTTATTCTCATGACAACATACTGAATCTAAGGTCCATGTTAAAAGACGCAAACTGAGATTTATTTACTGAACAGGCTGTCGATAACACAACTACTAACGTAACACATTATCTTAATTTCTGTCATGATGCTTGTTGTCCAAAAGAGACAATCTTCTTAAAATTCGACCGCTTCTCCTCTTCTCAACTCAAAAAGCATCCCCGTGAAAAAGAGAGGTTGTACAATATGAAAAATAAATTTGGTTTTAAGAGAATGAACACTTTGAATAAAGCTGAATTACAACGATTAAATGCTCTCTATGACCAGAAGTTTCTTTCATGTGA